GTAGTAGGCTTTCGAGCCTATACAGCTTGGAGTAAGACAACATGCATGAAGAGGATGATGTGGACAAAATACTCATTTGCCTAATAATTCTACACTCCCTGTACATGATGTTAGCATGACAACATGCTAAACCTGTGCCACAATGTTGCAACAATGCAGCAACACCCGTGTTAATTTTCAACTTCAGTGTTTCTGCAGAGTCACAGTGGAGGTTTAGAGAAAAAAGGAAGGGATCCCGTGGGGGAGAAATAAAAAGCTTTCTGGTTTCTAAGAAGGCGAATGTGTGAGGTTCCTTTCTCATACACGAGTGGGGTAGTCCCCGTTTTCTTTCATGTTGGAGCTTTCATGTTTTGCCTTTGATTCTTAAACCTCTGTTCTTGTAACTTTCCTCAGTTGCACGTTTGAGTTTCCAGTGCACGACATTTAGATTTTCTTGTTTACTCAACAGAACAGAACATTTGTAGTTGATCATGAAGCAATTTCGACAACCTTATTAACATCCTGTTTTGTCATTTGTGCAATAAGAAGTTTCACAACCATTTAATGCAATCAGAAAATTACATGTAAGCACACTTGATTTAGTTAATGACCGTTATTTAACGTCTCAGATAAACTGTATTGAAGAATTCATTGCAGGAAATATTTCGTTTAAAAAGGCTCAAATTTATATACTATATCACAACACCAGCTTAAGTTGTCTGAATATTTCAAAAGATATAAAAATAGTTGTTTACTTGACAAAGAAAGTATTTTTGTCTCTCCAAATGGACCTTGAATATAGTGTGGATACCCTGCTTTATATCTATGGATGTCTGTACTCTTTCTCAGAACAATGGTGAATGTTCACTTTGGTTACGTATTTGCCCCTCAGCTTCGTAATGCACATATGAATAAAGAGACGATGCGGTGGAGGTGTGAGGTTTATAATAATGTGGCCACCCAGTAGCACAGGAAGTGAAAAATCTATAAGCAGATACCCGTTTGAGGCCTGTTTGTTTGTCTTCCTGACAGAGCTGACAACTTCCCGTTGGCAGCATATTTATGCTAACTGGGGAATTTTTCTCACTCATTTAATTTTTTTAAACCAGTCACTACAGATCAGATGAGACTTTCCTATGAGTCACAGTGCAGTGAACTTGGTGGCACCGTTCCACACACTTTTAAGGCCTTCATATTCATGTGGGGCGCTGAGTGTTACATCAGAAGTGAGCATTGTTTTACTTCATTGTTCTTGCTCACCGGCCCTGACAACAAAAACAAGGGGCCTCCCGCAGGGTATTGTGGTATGTCAGGACGCACAGCTGTTTGGTATTAGTAGGTCGCAGACACTCACACACCCTGTTACCCTGTGCGAGGACAGATTAGCCCCATTCATGATCACAATACAGTCATTCACACTGCTTCATGGCTGCACGCAGCGGCGAACTAATTGTTAATGTGATTCGTCACAAAAGCACTTTGAGTTGTTGTTACTATAGTAAGAAGAGTAATCAACACCAGAACATTTCAGCTCTGTGTTTGGATTTTTATTGACAGCGAAAAAAGATGCACCTGTGCATTTTTCAATACGATGCATAATATATTTTCTCAGGAGGTTGTTCTGGATTTGGTCAGCTGTCAGATCCGTGACGAGCACCTGGAACCACAGGTGCACAAAATAGTTCCTCGCACTCTGCAGCTCTTTTCCGGGCACGCACAGAAGCCCAGTTTAAGTATCAAATAACATGAAGCTATAAAAAATAAGCCTTTGCTGATAGTCAGAACACACATACTTTAAGATGATATGAACTAGTGAAAAGCAGCACATTTGAATATGCTATAATACAGCTTCTTTTCACTTCTTTTCACACGCCTGTTCACTGGAGAGTGATAGTGTTTGTGTGTTAATCATGCAAATGGATTCTTTTCTGTTGCAGGTGGTACAGGCTCAACTCGAAGACGGGGAAGAAGGAGAAGGAACGGGGAGACATTCAAGTCACCATCCAGTTCACCCGCGACAACCTGACAGCTAGCATGTACGACCTTGTCATCAAAGATAAAAGCGCCTCCACCTTCGGCAAGCTGAAGGAGCGCATGAAAGGCAAGAGGAGATCCAGCGACGAGGACTCCTCTTCGGCCGTCCTGCCGAGTGGGTATGGCTCTTTGTACCGCATGCGCCAAAGACTTCCTAGCGACGGAGGCGGAGAGGAGGATTATGAGGACGACGAAGGGGGCGAGGTCCGGAGGAGCAAGATGAGAACTTTCTTTTTGAGGGGAAAGTTGCGAAAATCGTCCGACACTCGGTCCAGCACGTCCCTGGGCTCGGAGAGCAGTGAGTCATCGTCACGGGGTGGGAGCCTCAGTCCCACGGCCGGTATCAGCGTGGTGGTGTCCGATCTCTCTAACTCGCCCAGTAACAGCAGCAACCTGACAGCAGATAACAGCCCAGGTGAGCTTGTTGTCACTTTAGTATCAAAGTGAAATATTCTTCTTGTATGATAATGTCTAGAACATGGATTTGTTAGCTGTTGTGTTTCAACCAAAGGAACAGAAATATTTGTTAGCAAGAGTTTTCGAGGTTATTCTGTAAATGTCACAGACTTTAAGTTAAAGTTATACATGTGGAAGTTCTATTTCTTGATAGTTGTGCTGCCTGAAATCTCATCTACACTGAGAGCAGGGTTTAAAAAGCTGCACTACGAAGCACAGTTTCTAGAAAAGATTCTGCAATCGTGGGTAAATTTTCATTGACACCTTTGTCCGCCAGAAACACTGATCAGCTCTGTTTTGAAAGACATTGTCAGGAAAATGTCAAGAAGGCTTTACCAGCTGAAGTTTAATGGAGTAAAGTCATGTTTTCCTGTTCTCAATTTTCTTCCATTCCCTCCTCCTCGCCACGATTTGCAGAGCACACAGCAAACACGTCGCCCAAGTCTTCGTCTCTCAAATGCGAGTTTGGTGATGAGGCCGGTGAGATCACCATTGCAGTGCCTCAGCCCACTGTTTGCATCAACGGAAGCCATTCTTACAACGTGCAGCCCCAGGCCCCAGGCTCAGGAAAACCTGCAGGTTCTTTAGGCCTGGGACTGTTGCAGAAGTCTATGCCTCTCTCCGTGTCTCTACAGAACCTCAGTCAGCAGGCCTCCATAGATCTCCCTAAAGGTGGTGTGGGAGATGGGCGCCGCTGGTCCTTTGACAAGCCCGGCGAGGAGGAAAAAGCAGCCATAGCTGCGGCTCTGGAGAAAAGCGGCCCGATGCTGGGTGAAAACGAGGAGCGCCTGGGACAGGCTGCTCCGACAGAAGCCACGTCATGGTCCTTTGCTTCCACAGTGGAGGCGGGGGACATCCAGGGGAAAAAGCAGAGGAGGAACTTTTTCTCTCATGCGGGGAAGGGACAGAGTCAGCCCAAGGATGAGTGCGAGCGGGCCCATGCTGCAACTGATGAGAAACAAAGGGGATGGTTTGGATCAAAGGACTCGCAGAGCAAACCCAGGTGAGATACACACTGATCACAGAGAAGACGTCCGACCAGTTTAAACCTTTGGTACAAATATTATTTGAATGAAGGTCAAAAGCAACCAAAAACAAAGTGCCTGCTGAGAGTTTGTACCTGCACATTTAGACTTCCAGTATCATTACTCACAGAGTGAGGTGCGTAATTGCATGTGACCCGTATACGTTTTATCTTACTTTAGCAATCATAAGGGCATCAAAGAATGTTTTTGATGTGTAAGATGATATTTTGGCAGCAGAGCAGAATGCAAATGCGTGTTCGAGTAACAGAAAGTGTTATAGCGGTGTTACCCTAGTATTACTAGATAAAATCTTTAAATGTGCATTTTATTTCAAGATCAATGATCTTGAAATGAATTTCTAAATGAATCTCTGCACAAAATTTTCTCTAGCCTCTCTAGTGCAGGTTGCCAGATACAGCCAGTGAATACAGGCCACTGCCACCAGACATGGCAACCAAGCTACGACAGAGGCTAGCAGTGACAGGTTTTGACAAACAGTTTTGAGTAGCAGTGAAACAGACTTCCTTCCTGGCTCTAAATTAGCACTCAATTTCCTGTGGAGCACCTCATTTGGCGTGACATTGCACGATATCTGTTGACTACCACTATTTGCTTAAACCGATGACGCTCACAGTGCAGCAAAAGCGTAACTTAAACCCATTCTTAGGAGGGTTAAATGACGGCGTAGATGTTTACTTCCTGTGCACCAGCATCACAGCTAGAAATTGCTTCCAGCTTTGCACATATCCCTCCTGGTTTCAGTCTCTGGTTACAGCAGGTATCTGCAGTGCAGATGGAGGAGGAGAGCTGCTCTTGTGAAATTAGCTCTGTCAACTTTCAACCTTGTGCACGCTGTAATATGCTTCAGTAATAATGTTCATTTCATTGGAAAGATGATGATGTGAGCTGGGAAAAAGAAATCATTCTTCTATTACAGGTTGTGTGTGTGTTTATGGGCAGGGAGAAAGTGGGGGAAGAAAACCTCGTCTTATTTTATATCCACTTCTAACACAAGTGCATACAGTGGGGCAAAAAAGTATTTAGTCAGCCACCGATTGTGCAAGTTCCCCCACCTAAAATGATGACAGAGGTCAGTAATTTGCACCAGAGG